TGGTATATTAGACTATTATAATTCAAAATCTGACATATTGATAAGAAGATGTTCCAATTCGTCAGCACAATATTCCGCCCTTTCGACACGATTCGGCATGTTCAGTTCATCGATATATCTCATAAGTGACCAAATGGCGCTAAAGTTGACACAACTGAAACTTAAATTCAGACGAGACAAGAACGTTCTGGCGTTTCCCAAACTATTATACTCAATGGGCACGGGACTAAACGGTATTTTCAATAAATTCATTTCTTTTTCAGTCAGACCTGTGTATGTTGTTGTGAATTCTTGATGGTTTATAAATGGATCGCTAGCATCGCATCCGAAAGGCTGACATAGCGTAACCAGTTTTGGAACTAAAAAGCTAACCACACTGTCTATAGATTGTATCCCATTGATAAGATTTTTGAGAGCATCCAACAAGCTGTCTACATGGTGATCTTCGGACAACATTAACATATAACCAAATTGTATGACTATATTATATCATGCTTGCGCGTAAAATACGAAGGGACCAGATTTAAAAATATATGGCCGTAAATATGCCATGTGTTTTAACGACAGGCGATGTATGATGATTTTTAAAAAGTTAAGACACGCATTATAGTATGATCTTACGTTATGGAGATTGGTGTTTTTCCAATCCAGGACACGCGCATTTTGCCAAGCCGCATACAGCATTGCGCTAGTGTTGTTCCATTTTATTCGCAAGTTGTACACATGTTGTAAGTCATATTTGAGCGGCTCATGCACACCCAGATTTTGCAATAATAAAGAATTGGTTTTCATATTCAAAACAAGCCTAACTTTTAACGAATTATCTTTAATTATATTGTTTTTTTCGATCAGAACTCTGGCTTGTTCCAAGTACTGTGAGAGTATAGTTCTCCTATAAGTAAAGAAATCGAACGTCTGTCGTGACCTCAACGCCATTTCGTACAAATCGAAAAAATTTCCCTTACGACACCCGACTAGGTCGTCATCCAGTTTTTCAATGACAAAGCCGAGATTTTCGATAACTTTTGGATGGTCGTCCGTGTTATTTCTTAATTCCTGTTTGGAATCAGTTATCAAGCTCGTGAACAGATATAGTGCCCACATAGCACCAATACGTATTCCTTTCAGACCGAACAGCGAAATTATCTGGGACCTTACTAATTTGTTCATATTACTAATGATGTCCAGCAACATTTGCAATTCTGTATTGTGATTTTCAAGTAAATCCCTAACTAGCCGCACCTGTGTATACCCGCCGAACAGGTATCCGCATTTTAAATCCATGTAGAGTTCACCTTGTTCAACATGTTCGTTTGTATATTTGTAGCCGGTTTCCAATGACCGCACTGAAGTGTAAACGAACATAATCATGCCCAGAACCATTTTTGTTAGAGTTCCAGTCCGCACCATATTTCTTTCCAAAAGTAAATTTAAACGGTAAAAAACTATACGTTTGCTTCCTTCGTTCTTGAGACGGCGAAATGTACTGACTAACGAAGATATTAGAATTAGATAAAATGTTTTTTTTTATTCGTATTCAAACGTATTTCTGTCACTTTACAAGAAAAAACAATTCTTCGCTGTAGTTTATTTTATATTTGTTTAGGCTATATTTTTTTAGCTGTCTAAATACGTTAAATAATATAATTTTTTAATATAGCGGGACAACTTACTGTATGGCAATGAATTTTGACTTATGTTAAATACCTACGACATTATATTCTACAAACAATTTTAGTCATTTCTAAACAACCTACGAGGCATCAAAATGTTTTATTTGTATTTTGTTATAGCATACAATTTAGTCGTCGTTATTGTTATAGAACTAGGCAGGAAACAACGGCAAATTTAAATGAAACCAATTAGATAATGCGTCGAAGCTATATTAGTATAATAATATTAACAAAAAATAATGTTTAAAGGTAAAGTTGTATCGCGCATTGTTTTAAAAATTACAGCGATGAAATTGTTTTCTTGGATCAAGTGTATTAATAGAATATAATGCACGTAATGCACATATTTGTATGGTGAAGTAAAATTACCTTAGTAATTTTTATGGAGAACATTTGGTGACTATATACTGTAATAATATAATGAAATTATTTTTTTTTTTTTTACAATTTGTTACATTCTGAAACAATATACATAATTTAGGCCTCTCAGTGTTAGGAAATTCAACAGAGTTAATTAATGATATTATTTACAACTTTTTATTTTTTGCTATCAAACTCAAACTAGCAGGTCACGACACCATTGCTTTTAAATCTTTTTCGGGGGTTGCCAGAAATAGTTATTGTTGGTAGTTCAGAAATGACAATAAAGATAATAAAGTCAATTTTGATGAGTTTCTGTTAGGCGAAAAATTTTGTTGATGGCGGGAGATACTATAAAAAAACGATAAAAAAGAGGTGTCAAAACAAATACTCAACATACTTTTTGCGACCATAGCCAAAATAATAGAAAAAAAAATCCAAAAAATTGGAAAACATTCTTTTCATCGCAACAGACACGCAGTGTAATTTTGAAAAAAATATCGGGGGGTCGCGACCGGTCGGTCCAAACCTTAGTTTATACATGGCATTTTGACCCGTAAACTGATGCACATTATATCATCACACAAAAGAGTTTTTCTACACGGAAATTTACCAGTAAAAAACCAACCTATTTAATTAATTTATAATTATTATATTTTACTAAATATGTACTGTAGAGAATATAGTTTATGGTAACATATTGATTATAGGTTTTGAAATATTATATAATTTAATTTATTTAATTTTTATCTAATTTGTATTAAATTAATTATAAATGTGTATAACTCGCGATATATTGTTTTAACTGACACATTGGTTATTTGTATAACGTAGTAAAAGTTTTGTTCAAAATCTGACATATTGGCATATGGATTTTTTGATGTTTGAATGTATACAATTTAAAATTATTTCTATTGAACTTTAAATTGACAAACACCAAAATAGCTTATGAAAATATTTTTTTGGTTCGTTGAATTCAGTTTTCATACAAACGCTCCAATTTGGGGTCAACTTTTTCGGTTGTTATTTGATTTTAAGCAAACACTATTACCATTCAATGCTATTACTTAAATTGCACCTGAATAGTTTTATCTCTATTATTTACACCTTATTGTATATTTTAATGTTGGTTTCGCGAGTTCGTCCGAAATGACCAGATTTCTTGAGCTAAATATTTTTCAAAAGACAGGGCTGGTAATGCTTGCTCTAATTGTATTTAAACAAACGAAAAAAAGGGTGGCCCGTGGGTTAACAATACACAGTAATTCAAAATTTGGACATTATACTAATATAGTATAATGGAATTTACATAACTTTTCTAAGAGTTTTTTTTATGCTATGAAGACGTACTCGCTACAACCGCCTGTAAGTATTATAATTTTGTAAACTGATCTAACGATGCAAAAGCTGTTGAGTCCGTTCGGGCTTATCGAAAATTCTAACCGCCCGACCGGATAGGTGCCGTTTTGGTAGGGGTGAAAATAGATTCCATAAAAACAGATGTCTTCGATATTACATAGGAACTTAGCAGTACATTTTTTTTTACGTAGGTTGATAGAACCTCTGTAATCACTCAGTCTATAATACAATAAAATGTATATAAAGTATAATAATTCATATTAGCAGAGTGGGCAAAATATTTTGAAGTATTTCTATAGGATAGAGATTGCGTTTTAAAAAATCTATAATGATAAATTCCTCTATTGGTATACGACTACTGAAGGTCATTATCAAAAACATTGATAAATGAACACATTTTTAGAGATATAATTATAGAATACAAATTAAGCAATTATTATAAGTCCAATTCGTAAGGTAATCAAAGTACTTTATTAGTATAAGACTTCTGACGGACCAATGAACAATGCAATAAACACGATGATAAATATTAAAATGCCTTTACAATGAACATTGATGGATATTGATAATTATAATTATAATATTTTTGCGATTAACAGGGTTTTATTGAAACATTTACAGTAACTGATTTTACCACTTTCAGTCATAAAAATGTTTATCGGAGTGAGTTGGCAATATTAAAATATTGATTTTTATGAAACTTACGATTAAAAAAATCTCAAAACTTATTTAATTGATAATTATTATATTCAACCAAACACGTATCATAATAATAGTGAATAAGAAAATTTCTATATAAAAAAAAAAGTGAATATATTAAGATTTTAAAATTATTGTTTATTTTAGGAAATTGAATAATCGTATCATGACTTACCGACTTACATTATAAGTGTTTTTATGAGAATATTAGACTATTATATTTCAAAATCTGACAAATTGATAAGAAGATCTAATTCCTCAGCACCATTATCCGATCTCTCTTCACAAATAGTTGAATTTAGTTCATCTATGTATTCTAAAATTGATCGAATGACGCTAAAGTTGACATTATTGAAAACCAATTCCAGATGAGAAAGAAAAGATTTCGCGTTTCCCAAACTATTGTACTCAATCCGGTTAGTACTATACGGTATTTTCAAAGAATTTATTTCTTGTTTTGTCAGACCGGTAAATTTAATTTTAAATTCTTGATTGTCTATAACGAAGAGATGACTAGCTTCGCATTCAAAAGGCTGACAAAGCGCAGCCAGTATTGAAACTATATAGCTAACCACGCTGTCTATTTTTTCTATCCCGTTGATAAGATTTCTGAAACAATTCAGCAAGCTGAATACATGGTGATCTTCGGACAAGCTTAACATAGTTCCAAATTGTACAATTATATTGTACCATTCTTTTGCGTAATACTGAAAGTCGTCCACATTATCAATATAAGGCTGTAAATATGTCATGTGTTTTAACGACAGACGATATATGATAATTTTTAAAAAGTAAAAACAGGTATTATAGTACGATTTTATATGTCGGAGGTTGGTGTTTTTCCAATCAAGGATACGCGTGTTTCGCCAGGACGAAAGCAGCATTGTGCTAGTGTTATTCCATGTCATTCTTAAGTTATATAAATTTTTCAAGTCTTCTTTGAGTTCATTATAAATACCCAGGTTGCCCAAAAAAAAGCCAATTAAGTTTTAAATTAATTTCTAGTTTATCTTTCAACGCACAATCTCTAATTATATTGTTGTTGTTAAGCAGATCCCAGGCTTTCCTCATGTGTTGTTTTATTAAACTTTTCTTGATATCATTGAATCCTAACTTCTGACCTGACTTCAACATGATGTCATATGAGTCGAATGAATTACCTTTACGACACCCGGCTAGGTCGTCCTTCAGTTTTTCAATGACATAGCTGAGAGTTTCGATAACATTCCTATAGCTTTGGTGTGAATTTGTTGGAATCTGGTGAAAACTGGATATTAGGCTGGTGAACAAATGTAGTACCCACATGGCCCCAACGCGTATTTCTTTTAAAGCGATTAGCGTAGCTACCTGGGATTTTACTAAACCGTTTACATAACTTATGGTGCCAACCGCCATATTAAATGTCATATTATAAGGTTCTTCAAATAAAAGCTTAATTATCCGCATGTATGTATACCCGTTAAACAGGTATCCGCATCTTAAATCCTTGTAGAGTTCATCTTTTTCAACATGTTCGCCTGAATAATCGTACCCGGTTTCTAATGAATGTACTGAAGTGTATACCAAAAACACTGTGCCCAATACTATTTTCGTCAGTAGATCAGTGCACACCATTTTTATCTCTTGAAGGCGACTTAATGGGTCATAAAGTATTACGTTTCTTGCTTGGTTCTTGAAATGACGACATATAACGACTGAAGATATTAGAATAAGACAACATTTTAATTTTTTTAATTAATATGTCAAGACCAAACCCAAACAATTAGACGTCAGTACAAAAAAAAACATGTTTTCGCTGTAGATATTTGTTTAGACCATATTTTTTAGCTTTCTACCACATACTTAACTGTTACTTATTCAAAGTTCGACATATTTTTTTGTATGTTTTCTCCCTTTTTTTTTGTGTGTTTTATTTAATACCAACCTACCATATTGTACTCACGATTTTTCCCGTTTCGAATCAACCATGACTTTTATTTTCTACTGAAGTCTGGTGACCATATTCATTGTTGACAAAATACATATGCCCTATTATGAATATACATGTTATAAAAATTATTAAAACAAAATTTTCTCTTTTAGAAAACTATCGACTCCTCACTCCAGGTTCGAATTTTGTACTTGCCAGAAGTTGTTTTCACTACACCTGGTTTATTATAAAACCGTGTACAAATGATATAATATAATATAATAATTGCTTTGTTTAATAAAAAACGAGTAAGTTATTTAGTACCATTTAATTTATTTAGTAGTACCGCATATACTATTTTGATGTTTTTTTTAGCTATACAAAATAAATGCAATAAATATAAGTGTTAACTACAAGTAGAAGCTATTGACTTCGTAGGCTTGAAAAGAGTAGCCGCTCACTGTCGACAGTCTTATTATTTTGATTTTTTATTAATTATGAGAGAGAAAGGTCTCTGCACCACTTTCTTTTTAATATTTTAGGTGGGTTATTGGGCATCGATTGTAATGTAAGGTAATTTACAAGAGGGTTTGGATGGTTGTACAGAGAGTTGTAAGAACGACTGTAGTAAAACTTGGAAAGTTGGGTTGTAGTTTTCATTTGTAGATCCGAATGTAAAGTATGGTTTGAGTTATAGGGTAAGAGACTTGTATTTCGTAAAGGTTCGAATCCTTAGCTCAGGCCTAAATTTTAGTGGAGTGTATGTGCTCAGCTTAGTTTTTGTCAAGGTGTACCCCAAATTATTTGATAGTATTTGAAGAAGGTATGTGGAAATTGTTTAGAGTAACGTGAGGGCAGATTCCTTGTTTGAGATTAAATGAAATATGGCAAGATTTTGGTTAGATTTAAACTGTTTTTTTTTTAAGAAATCCGTTCGACGAAATAATTTTGCTAACTAAAAATATTTCTACTAAACTCTTTAATATGGTAAATGATCAAAGTAAGTTTTTATTGTTCACATAAATATAAAATATATAAACCAATTTTTGAAGGTAACTTTCAAAAGTCAATTCTGGTGACATTATAAAATGATTTAACTAGAACCTGACTAGAACTGAGTATAAACATACTGTGACACATTTCATAATATATACAGGGTGATTCTTTTATCATGAACCACTCAATATCTCATAGGGAATAATAAGAAATAAAAATATTTTTTAGCTTCGGCGCGGAGCTGAGAAGGTATTATTTTTACAATAATGCGATTTTATTTTTGTGTCTAGGACAGTGATATTTTCTAAGCCGCTAATCTACAAATTCGTATCGAACCGTTTATTTAAAAGTGATTTTATCACTTCTAGTTATAATAAAATCTGTAGAAATGTGACCTCTCCGTCCTAACTATGCCCGGACCCCACTATACTGGCTTTTTTCATATTATTGTTGTACAATATGATCTCAATTTTTCACAATTTTTTTGTTTTTACCCCCCACCCAAATAAATTTTTTTGTTAGCAACTTTTGAAACTTAAATGGTAACGTATATATTTTATTAACGTTCTAAATTGAGAATAATGTACTAAACATTTTGAATGGTCGATAACCAGTTTCGGATAACTATTTTTGAAGTTATTGAAGTTTCAAGTTTAGGGGAGGAGGAAAGAAGGAGTGTAGTAGTATTTTTATCTGCGCGCATTTCCCAACTGCACTTCCCCTCCCATCCTAACTTTAAAAATAGTTATCCCAAACTGGTTTTCGACAGTCAAAATGTTTAGTACACTATTCTCAACATAAAAAGTTAGTAAAATAAGTACGTTACCATTTAAGTGTCAAAAGTTGCTATCAAAAAAACTAACTTGGAGGGGAGTAAAAACAGAAAAAATTGTGAAAAATTGAGATCACATTGTATAAAAACAATATGAAAATAAAAATGTTAATTTTTTATTAAACCTTATGAGATATTGAATGGTTAATGATAAAATAATCACCCTATATAGGTTGCGATTTACAGATTTTTATCAAATTATTTATAGAATGATTTTATACCTGTCATTCGTTAAAACGCTTATAGAACCAAGACTATCTCAATGTGAACTGACACCTTTTGTATTGATTTTTATAAAATCTACGAGTAAAAACAATAACAGTTTATTTCTTTGATAATTATTATTTTCAACTAAATATGTATAATATTGGTAGTTAATAACAAAATATATAATAAAAAGAAAATATGCTAACATTTTAGAATGCTTGTTATATTTTATAGAAATTTAATTATCACATCATGACATAAAAGTTGATTAGTATTGTAATGTTATTTAAATTTTATATTTAATAAAAATTTGGGTTACATTATAAATGTTAGTCTATAGACTACTGATAATTATTATGATTACTTATAAGTAATCAAAATCTGGTATATCGAACTGGAAATTTTCAAAAACCTCAATATTATTTTCTGACTTCTCAACAATAAATGTTAGATTGATCTCATTGATATATTCAGTAAGTGACCGAATGGCGTTAAAATTGACATTTTTAAAGGCCAATTTGAGATGAGCCAAGAAAGTTTTAGCATTTCCCAAGCTGTAGTATTCAATCCATACAGGACTAAACGGTATTTGCAGAGATTCTATTTCTTCTTCGGTTAGACTTCTATATTTGATTGTAAATTCTTTATTGTCTATAGTGAATTGTTTAATAGCATCGCATCCAAAAGGTTGACAAAGCTCAACCAGTATTGAAGCTATATAGTTGACCACACTATCTATTTTTTCTACCCCGTTGATAAGATTTCTGAGACAATTCTGCAAGCTGCATACATGTAAATCTTCGGACAAGTGTAGTAAAGTACCAAATTGTGTGACTATATTGTGCCATTCTTGTACGTAATACATATAGCGGTCCACGTCAAGAATATAGAACTCTAGATAATTTATGTGTTTTAACGATAGCCGGAACAAGATGATTTTTAAAAAGTCATAGCACGACTTATAGTACGATTTTACATGTAGGAGGTTGGTTTTTTTCCAATTCAAGTAACGCGCATTTTGCCAAGCCATAAGCAGAATGGTGTTCGTGTTTTTCCATATTATTTTCAAGTTGTATCTATTTTGAAAGTCCTCTTTGAGTTTTCTATACATACCAAAGTTGTGCATAAAAAGCAGATTGGGTCTTAAACTGCTTTCGAGCTCTTCTTTCAACAAATAATTACTAATTATGTTGTTTTTGTGCAGCAGATCCCACGCTTGGGTCATGTGTTGTTTAAGTAGAATTTGCTTGAGAATATCGTATCCTAACTTCTGACCTGACATTATCATGCTGTCGTACCAGTCGAATGAATTGCCTTCACTACACTCGGCTAGGTCGTCACGCAGTCTTTCGATGACGTAGACGAGAGTTTCGAAAACACGCGCATAGTCTTGCGGTGTATTTTTTGCAGTCTTAAAAAAATCAGCTATGAAACTACTGAACAAAAGTAGTGCCCACATGGCCCCAACACGTATTCCTTTTAAAGCGATTAACGTAGCTACCTGAGTTTTCACTAAATCGTTTACATTAGTAATGGTGCCAATCGCCACATGCACTGACATATTATATTCTTCAAATAAAAGCTTAATTACCCGCATGTGTGTATACGCGCCAAACAGGTATCCGCATTTTAAATCCTTGTAGAGTTTATCTTGTTCAATATGTTCATTTGTATATTTGTACCCGGTTTCCAATGACCGTACTGAAGTATATGGAAACAACACCAAGCCTAAAAACATTGTCGTCAATAGTACGGAGCGCATCTTATCTTTGTTTAAAATGCGGCTTAGTTGGTCAACAGAATATATTAAGTTTGCTTATCCGGTTCTTGGAGTAACGAAATACTGCGAATGAGAAATTCAGAATTCACTATACAACATTTTGATATTTGTTATTCGCTTTTAAGAGCTTAAAAAAACAGTTTTGGTCGTAGGTATATTTGATTAGACAATATTTTTAAGCTGACTTACACACGTTAAAAAATACAACTTCTATTATTCAACTGTTTTGCATATTTGACCTATTTCTAGATGTTTTTTGCATTGTTTCTATTTTTTTTTTTATTCTATTCAATACATACTATAATGTATGCATAATTTTTTACTTTTTCTAGTTACCGCATTATTATGTGTTAATATTTTAGATTTCTCAAAAAAAAATTTTTTATTTGGTTTTTCCATCTACTTGAGCTCGATAATCAGCTTTTTAACATCGTGTAAATTATTTAATTTAATTATTCCCCCCCCCCCACCATCATTTAAGTTTTTTATAATCCAAATCTAAATTGCGACTCATTTTAGAGTTCAATTCCATTACACGATGAATACTAATCGAAAAATCGCCTTTGTGCATGTAAAAATCGTTTAAAATCAATTAATATTAACGTATCAAAAAACCCCGAATTCATCAGTCAGTAAATCAAACGTTTTCATTTCTTCGCATGCGCTTAGATTAATCTGTGTAAAAAAGTCATTCGTCATACAAGAGTAGTAATAAATGTCAAAGACATCATGTCCACCAAATTTTTGTTAGATTTCTGCACTATAGTTTTGTTAGTAGCTCTCGAAAGTCTTTCCATATTTCTACACTTGCCTATAGCTTTGATTTGGGAAAAATATATAAATTCACTCGAAAAGAGAGGCGGGGGGTTATTCAAGTTAAATATGGTAAATTATGCAGCGTCCATTATTGTGACTAAGTTGGTGGTAAGGCTTTGGTTTTTTTAAGTTGATAGGTTAACAAATATGAATAAGTTTTTAGATTATAGAGTATAAATTAAGTAGTTATTATAAGTCTAATTCGTAAGGTATTCAAGGTACTTCATCGGTATACGTCTTCTGGACGACCAATGAGCTCTGCAATAAACATGATGATTTTTATGATATTTACGAATAAAAAATCTCACAACTTATTTAATTGATTATTATTATATTCAACCAAATATGTAATAATAGTCCGAATAACGCTTAAGTTGATATTATTGAAAGCAAATTTTAGAGGGGCAAAGAAGTTTTAGCGTTTTCCAAAACTATAATACTCAAGCCACATAGGATGCAGTGCAGTACGGTGAGTGGATCACACCCACGACTGTCTGTCTTCGAGGGCTAAATTAAGAGACCCTAGCCGGGACAGGAAGCTACCCGATATCCACCCTAAAATATCTCTAGAGACTCTTTATAAATGTATGTAACCGCCCGAAGAGCAGAAGGGTTGCAACTTGCAAGTACTATCAAGATAATTAACTAATATCTTAAATTGCAAATATTATTATTTATTTAAAAGGTTTAACGACCAGTAAAAATTAAGTTATCGATTAAAATATCAAAATGACTAAAAAAATATGTATAAATATACCTATATGTAAAGGTTTTACACCCGTTACCTGGTAATTCGGAGATAAAGCAGCGGAGTGACACGTACAAAAATATATTAAAAAGACGTGAAAATAATGACGTGGTCATCATATAATAATATTCAACCGAATATGTTTAATAGGGATAGCTTGTAACAAATATATATTACAAATCATTTTTTATCAATATACAGATATTTATCGAAACATTTACAGGAAATTATTTTATACCTGCTTGTCATTTCAGTGCTTAAAAAACGAAGACTACTTCTATGTGGACTGGCATATATTGTATAGATTTTGATAACACCTAAAATTAAAAAAGCTAACAGTTTATTTATTTGATAATTATTATATTCAACTAAAAATTAGTTTAGACAAGCCATAGACAGTGTCGTGCTAGTGTTTTTCCATTTAATTTTCAAGTTATAGACATTTTGTAAGTCATCTACGGTCTTATTATGCGTGCCTAGGTTATTCAATAAAAGTGAACTGGCTGTCGTACCATTTTCAAGCCTTTCTTTCAACAAACTATCACTAATTATATTGTTTTGTTCCAGTTGAGCTTGAGCTAGTTCCAAGTATTGTGGAAATATATGTTTTTTATATGTACAAAATCCAAACGAACCTTTTGACAACACGATGTCGTACGTATCGAATAAGCTGCCTTTACGACACCCGGCTAAATCGTCATCCAGTTGTTTGATGACAAAGATGAGAGTTTCAACAATTTTCGGATGATATTCCGTCGTATTTCTTGTCTCCTGATAAAAAAAAGGTAGCATAACCGTAAACAAATGTATTAGCCAAAGGGCACCAATACGTATTCCTTTAAAACCGAGCAGTGAAATTATCTGGGATTTCACTACAACGTTAATACTAGTAATTAGGCCAATCCACAATTTGCTGGGATGACATAGCTGAGAGTTACGATAATTTTCGGATGGTCTTCAGCCGTATTTTTTGAATCCTGATAAAAACTTATTATTAAGCTCGTGAACAAATGTAGTGCCCACATAGCACCAATACGTATTCCTTTCAGACCGAACAGCGAAATTATCTGGGACCTTACTAATTTGTTCATATTACTAATGATGTCCAGCAACATTTGCAATTCTGTATTGTGATTTTCAAGTAAATCCCTAACTAGCCGCACCTGTGTATACCCGCCGAACAGGTATCCGCATTTTAAATCCATGTAGAGTTCACCTTGTTCAACATGTTCGTTTGTATATTTGTAGCCGGTTTCCAATGACCGCACTGAAGTGTAAACGAACAATATCAAGCCCACAACCGTTTTCGTCAATATTCCGAAGCGCATCATATTTCTCTCTAAAAGTTGACTTAATCTAAAAGTATTATGTTTTCTTACCAGGTTCTTCAGATGACGAAGTGTACCGAACAAAATATGTAAAAATTAACTCGAAAGTTTTAATTTTTTTAGTAGCGTTTAAATGTATTTATGCGACTTTGCAATAAAGAAGTCTAAAAATAATTGGAGTCAAGTATTAAATTTTCCCTTTGCCTAGTGTTAATACTATTAAGTTTACAAATTTTAGCATAGATGGTAAGTTTTAGTAAACTGTTGCCTATACAATGACTTTTAGTAATTTATATGCTGAGTTTTTGTAAAAACGACAATAATAAAATTGTTATATTGGTTTAAGTGTGTACGCATATGGCATGTACGAACTTTACAGAAGAGTATACAGCTATTTTTTTTTTTTTTTTGTTATAGAGAATAATTATTATAAAATTAAAAAACGATATTGAACATAACATTGCTTTGAACATAATACACTGATGTATATTTCAGTTATAACAATGCTAAAAGGACTATGACTATCTGAATGGTTTATCGTTATGAATTTCATAAAGCCTCCGAAAGGAAAATCTCACAATTTATTTTAATGATAATTTTTTAGCTAGCTCAGTCGGAAGAGCACGAGATTCTTAATCTCTGGGTCGTGGGTTTGAGCCTGGGGTTGGGCGCCACTTTGTTGTAAGACAAAACGAGATACTGATGAATATACTGTATGTATAGTGTAGTTGCCGAAAGTATTCGGTTAGCTGCCCGAGTTCTTCGCGGATGTCGCCGGAAGCACTGCCCGTATTTATTTTTAAATAAATCATACGTGTTAAACATGACGTGATCATGACAACATAATAATATTCAACAGAATATTTTTAACATGGATGGCTTGTAACAACATTATGACTATGAATAAGAAATTAATACATAAGGAGGAGTGATAGTTGTTAAGAAGATGAATGTATGGAGTAAAGAATGATATGAGGATAGCTGGGGTGATTGAACGAGATGTAAAAGACCAATCACTATGGAGGTGTAGGACTAGGGTGGCCGGCCCCATGTAGTTGAGATGTAAGGCGAAGATAAAGAAGAAGAAGATAAACACAATATAAATCATTAAATTGTTTTTACAGTGAATATATTTTATTGACATAAAACAATGCTTTTTCGGTTTACAGATTTTTATCGAAACATTTATAGAAAAAGATTTTATAACTATTTGTCATTTTAGTGCTTAAAGAACGAAAATTACTTCAATGTAAACTGCCACATTGTGTATAGATTTTGATGAAACCTAAAGCTAACCGTTTATTTATTTATTTGATAATTATTATATTGAGTTAAATATGTATCATATGGATAGTTCATGACGTACTCGTCGGTTAATATTATAATTTAATTGAAAATATATAATTAAAACAAGTTGTGTTACATTGAAAATATTAGACTATCAATATTCAAAGTCTGACATATTAATATGAAGATCTTCCAATCCTTCAGCACAATTTTCCGACAAATCAACAAACACTGTCGGGTTGAGTTCATCGATATATTCTGCAAATGACCGATTGATACTAAAGTTGACATTACAAAAAGCTATTTTCAGATGAGACAAAAAAGTTTTAGCGTTTTCCAAGCTGCAATTTTCAATCCATTCAGAACTAAACGGCATTTCCAGCAAATTTATTTCTTCTTCAGTCACACCTGTATATATTTTTTTAAATTCTTGATTGTCAACAACGAATGGATCGCTAGCTTCGCAACCGAAAGGCTGACAAAGCGTAACCAGAATTGAAACTATATAGCTGACCACACTGTCTATTGTTTGTATTCCATTGATAAGATTTTTGAGAGCATCCAGCAACCTGTCTACATGGTGATCTTCGGACATCTTTAACATAGTACCAAATTGTGTGACTATATCGTACCATTCTTGCGCGTAATACTTAAAGGCGTCCACATAATCAACATAATTTTTTAAACATGTCATGTGTTTAAACGTTAGACGAAACAGGATTATTTTTAAAAAGCCATTACACGAATTATAGTATGATTTTATAGGCCTGAGATTAGTGTTTTTCCAGTCCAGGACACGCGCGATTTCCCATGCCGTATGTAGTATAGGGCTAGTGTTGTTCCATGTTATTCTCAAGTCATATCCTTTTTGTAAGTCATATTTAACCCCTCCATTTCTCCCTAGATTGTTCATCATAAGCGAATTAGTTTTTATATTTAAATCGAGCTTCTCTTTCAACAAACCATCACTAACTATTTTGTTTCCTTCCAACTGAGCTTTGGTCTGTGCCATGTATTGTGGTAGTATAGTTTTTGTATAAGTATTGTATCCGAACTCACCTGACTGTAAGATGCTTTCGTACGAGTCGTATGAATTGCCTTCACGACACCCGGCTACATCGTCATTCAATTTTCCGATGACGTAGACGAGAGTTTCAAAAATATGCAGATAGCATTGCGGTGTATTTCTTGTCTCCTGGTAGAAAATCGATATTAAGCTGGTGAACAAATGTAGTAACCACATGGCCCCAATACGTATTTTCTTTAAAGCGAACAACGTAGCTACCTGGGATTTCACTATATTGTTAAAACTACTAACAGGGTGAACCATTACTTTCAATTTTGTATTATGATTTTCAAGTAAATCCCTCACTAGCCGCATTTGTGTATACCCACCAAACAGGTATCCGCATTTCAAATCATTGTAGAGTTCATCTTGTTCAACATGTTCGTTTGTATATTCATACCCAGTTTCCAATGTACGCACTGTAGTGTGAACGAACAACATTATGCCCAAAACCATTTTCGTCAATAGTCCAGAGCGCACCATATTTGTATCTAAAAGTTGGTATAACCGGTCTAAAAGTAATAGGTTTGCTTACTTGGTTTTTAAGGTGACAAATTGTACCGACGGAAGTATAAGAATTAACTTGAAAAAATTTGGATAAGTAATAATAAAAAAACGTTAACTTTAAGAATCAATCTTAAGGCGACGAAATGTACTGACTGAAAAAAAAAATGTAATTTATATTATTCGTATAAAATTTCATTTATGTCATAAAAGAAAAACAACTTTTTGCTGTAGGTATATTTGCTTAGACCATATTTTTTTAGCTGTCAACTCTTGTAAAATACATAATATTAGGTTTTGAATTTAGCGGATTTTAACTTTGAAATGTTCACTTATACCCACAGCGATATTCGCACAATATTTTGGCTGATTCTTAACAACCTACAATGCATCAGAATGTTTCATTTGTATTTTGTCATAATATAACTTTTGGTAAATTATGACATTTGGTCTAATAACTTTACGGTTAAGATTTAAGATCTATAGAGTTGCTACACGAAGAATTCGGTTCAGAGGGCTTAGAAGATAAATCGCGGGTACAGATCAAAAATTTGGAGGGGTGAAAAAACAAACAAAATTGTGATTACATTTTATAAAATCATTAAAAAAAAAAAAAAATTCTCATTAAACCCTTTGAGATATTGAGTGGCTCACGATAAAATGATCTCCCTATACATATTTAATAAAACGAAATTTAGTCTTTAAAAGGTTAAACAGTTTTGGCGCTATCGTCTGCACCAAGCGCTGAGCCATTTATAGCAAACTTTACGTATGGGTCCCTGGTAGATCGACGACGGCAGCGGAGAGTATTTTTGATAATGGCTTCGAAGATTGTGACGTGTTAATTAATGTTAGTATTCAATGTGTGCACTGTGCACGTGTGTATTTTCAATAAGCCCACTATGCGTTGGCGGTGGCAATGAAGACGTGTGTTTTATAGAACCCTGGTACCCATATTTATTGTCCAATAAATAAATCTTTATCATTATGTCGATGACGCGAAATGTAGCACGAACTTACCACGCAAATTTAGGAATGACCACAAAAACATATCCATAAAAAAAATTGATTTGATTAATACGAATCGCGTAGATTATGTGGAAATTTATTATAAAACCAATTTGTGCGTCTCTCACTGAAGCGAATTTATGAAATTCCGATTTAAAAATATTACAAACGGATACAGAGAAATCTTAAAGGTTTAAAAATTATAATACGATATAATGCTTAAGGCCCCTGGATACCGCCGGTTTTTTCAGTCAAAACACATCATTCTTTGTTCATCGCACAGGCTGAACCAATTATCCGATAAGCAATCTAAAAACAGATATGAATTCTTCATGAAGTTTACTTGAGATCGGTCAGAGTATTATTTAACATATTAAAATTAAATCCTTTCCAAATTTTATTTTAAAATTTGAAATTTTATAAAATGTTCAAACGTGTTTTATGCGTAGTAGGAATAAGATATAAAAAAAAAAAATCTATTGTCTGTATTCTATTGATTAGATCTATCAGACAATCCAGCAAACTTAATACATTTAGATCTTCAGTACCAAATTGTACCACTACATTGTACCATTCTTGTGCGTACATTTTGCAGAGGTCCAAATTACCATTATAAGGTCGTAAATATGCCAAGCGTTTTAACGTCAGACGAAACAAGATGATTTTTAAAAAGTCATAACACGCGTTATAGTATGACTTTATGTGTCGGAGATTGGTGTTTTGCCGATCCATAGCACGCGCATTTTTCCATGCCGTACACAGCATTAGGCTAGTGTTGTTCCATGTTATTTTCAAGTTGTACATATTTTGTAGGTCATATTTAAGGTTATCTTTCAACCCCAAGTTGTTCAACAAAAGCGAATTGGTTTTAATACTTAAATCAAATCTCTCCTTGAACAAACCATCCTTACTTATATTGTTTTTATTCAGCTGGTCTTTAGCTTGTTTTATGTATTGCGGTAGTGTAGTTTTTGTATAAGTATAGAATCCGAACTGACCTGGCTTTAAGATGCTTTCGTACGAATCGAATGAGTTGCCTTTACGACATCCGGTCAGGTCGTCGTCCAGTTTTTTGATGACGTAGCTAAAGGGTTCGATAACTTTCAAATCGTTTTCTTTCGTATTTTTTTGATCCTGGTAAAAATTGATTATTAAACTCGTGAACAAATGTAGTGCCCACATGGCCCTAATTCGTATTTCTTTCAGACTGAACAGCGAAATTATCTGGGATCTCACTATAATGTTCAAACTACTAATAAAGCTAACTCCTTTGTATACTGTATAATTTTTAAGTAAAGTCCTGACTAGCCGCATCTGTGTATACCCCCCCAACAGGTACCCGCATTTTAAATCCTTATAAAGTTCATTTTTTTCAATAATTTTTTCCTTATATTCGT